TCTTGGCAAGATCATAAAATTTAAAGTTTTAATCAAGTTCTATCAATATATACTTTGAGAAAAGTTCTCAATGAAATATACATATCAACGCCAGTATCTATACCTAATTAATTTAATTTATTTATATGCAGACTTTTATTGGTCAAGCAAATGGTTTTAAATGCTCATTCATCTGTTGATGCATGTAGATGAATAATTACAAATGTATTATGACATTTGATATTTAAAGCTCAAGGTTGTCTGTTTTTCTCAATAACTTTTCTAAACTACTTGATGGCCGAATTATAGTTCATTTGAATATTTTATATGCTGCTTCTAAAATTTTGTTTTTTTCTGTCCCTTTTGTTCAAAGATAGAATAGCTAGAGGGACGAAAAGAATCAGATATATCTGAAACTTTCACAATGGGTGGCCATTATTTTAACGACATGACTCCAATTGAATTTGCTGAACATGTGAAGGAGTTTTTTCCCGAGTTGTTGATCTCGATGTTGAAGAAGTTATTCAACAGCAGTCAGCAGGTATGTTGAATTACTTGTAGCGACTTTCTCCGAGAGCTAAGGATTTAGTTTTCTTAAATAATCTTCTCTGCTCCCATATTATCTCAGTATTAATTGGTTGTTTTCATGTTGTATTACAGAATAGTGCATATCTGTAAAGAATATCTCATATGTTGATCATCAAACTAGCTATATGAGTCGATATTCTGCATACGAGGATGAATCTTGTTGGGAAGATATCGAGCAATTGACTCTCGATGAAGCTTTGGCTAGATCCTTGCAGTTGGAGGATGACTTCAATGATTCAGATGTAACCGGACACCTTTCTGGTAATAAACTTCTTCTGTTTTGTACATTTTTAGTAACACAGCTATACCTAAAGTTCATAAAACTGTTCATTCATATGGTAGTAGAACATTTTGTTCTCAAACACGTAATTTGATCGTCAACTATACTCGTGTTCATCATCTCGACACTATATTCCTAACTCAGTAGAATAGAATTTTGGTACTCGTGATTCTATGTACTAGGTCCATTAACTTGTGTGAAATGATTTTTTTATTTTTTACTTTTTTTTAACAGTATTTTAAGGTTCTTATAAACAAAGGCAGTGGATTGTCAGATTACGCGGTTGCAAAGTTAATGAACCTATCAGGAAACGAGAATTCACCCTAAACCCAAATTATCGAATTATAACATATGTAACTCACCAAATTATGGAGGCAAATAAAGAAAACAAAATGAATAAACTAACATGAAGTATATCAACGACGACTAATCTAGGTACTCGTGGACCTCTTGTAGGGAATCAACCCGAAATTCCCAACCTAAGAGAAACGCAAAATAGAGAAAATACACGCCAAAGAAAAACAATCACACGTACAAGACAATATTTATGTGGTTCAACCAATTTACCTACGTCTACGGAGTTGTAGGGATTTCACTATTATCAAGGAAAAAATACAAAGTGCGGTCGTGCAGTTTTACTCTCAATATCATAAAAAACCTTAATCGCCAAAAACTGCATTTTTCTCCCATTAAAAAATCACGCAACATTATTCAAGTCGGATCGTCAATCGGATCAAACAAAACTAGGCTCCACAAAGCCCAACAAATCTCCCGCTTGGAGACTAGTTCAATCACCAACATCAACCGCAATCCTCCAAAAAACATAATCCCTCATCCCTGCAACGTATCCTCCTGTCATCAAGCTAGAAGGTCAACTGAAGTTGTACACAGCTTCTTCTCAATAGTGACACCCTTTGTCAACATGTCTGCCGTGTTTTTAGATCCACAAATCTTCTCAAGTCTTACTAGCTTATCTTCAACAAGGTAACGGATAAAATGATATTTTGTCTGTATATGCTTCGACTTTGAATGAAAAGCTGAATTTTTAGCAAGAAAGATTGTACTCTAACTGTCATTGTGTAGAATGCCCATCTCCTGCTTCTTACCCAATTCATCTAAGAAGCCATGTAGCCAAATCATCTCATTTCCAGCTTCAATTGCTGCAACATACTCAGCTTCTGTAGTAGACAGAGTAACAATCTTT